AGTTTTCTACATATAACTGATCATTCATCCCGTTAACTTTAATCTCCGTTGATTATTACTGACCTTAAACCTGTCGTTTTCCGTATGTTTCGTTTGATTGTCTTTTCCTTTGAAGTGATTCGTAATTATATATATATATATATATATATATATATATATATAGACACCTGTAGTCAAAGTTCGGTAAATTATGAGTGTCTTCCACCCTTAATGGCCACGGTCCTCAGCCATAAGGCAAAACAGCGTACTCGTTCCTTAATTGATAGACGGATATCTCACCTTCGCCAAGAGTGACGCAAAGTAGCAAGAGCCAAACGAGCTATCTCAGTCCGTGCAGAGATTTCGTCAGACACCAAGTAATTTACTTTAGAGTTCCCTAATGAATATGTGGTCGATGCAGCCTCGACCGGTTCTGAAGTCAGCCTGATTTTCTCGTGTTTGCAGTTCACGAGTCTTTGTTAGGCACCCGATAATTATTGGGGCTAGTATTGTAGATGCTATGTTAGTCAAACTAATCCTTCTATGGTTGTCACAATATGATTTTGACCACTTCTTGCATATTGGGACAATTAGTGATTGCGACCAGTCAGATGGGATTAGGTCCAACTCCCAGATGTTAGCTAAAATATTGGTCAATCTAGTCGCTAAAACCAGACCAAAATCCCTAAATACCACTGGAGCCAATCCATCTGGACCAGCTGCTCTTCCTCGTTTCAGATTATCTATAACCTTTTGAATTATAGCTGGAGTTAGTGGACCTAATTCAATGTTCCATTCAGATTGTTTGGGAACGGAGGGTAGTTGTAAATTAGCCGGAAGCCAGCTGAACTACTCCTTAAAGTGTTCCACCAATCGTTCTAAACGTATGGGATGAGAGCAGAAAAGAGTGTCATCTTTTTTCGAGGCAGAATTGTAGTGGCATTTGGCCATAACCAAACAATCTTCAAAGCTAAACACAAGACAATTAGGGGAAGAGATATTCAATATTTAACGCGGAGAAACACCTAAAGATGAGGGAGGAGGGAAGAACGAATCGAATTAATTCGAGTGGATTGGATGGCGTGGCTCGAACTTGCAGGCGTGGTCCCTGCTGAACGTTACCTTATATTTTTTATTTATATTAAATATATTGTTCTACCTCTAGCCTAATCGTGTTCTCAATCACGTATTGGTAATTGTTACGATGTCGTGAGTTAGTATAGACGATGTTGCGACTTGCACGTAAGATCTTATAGATTAGGCAGTTATATCATGACAAATCTACAATTATAGGATTAGGTTTGTTATTAGAGCAAAACTAATATCATTGGAGACCATAACTCCACAGGCTCACTTACACTTGACCTATTAACTCCAGTTTATTTATTAGTCTTGTGTTGCATAGAGCAGGTATTTATCCGCGTTAAATATTGAATATCTGTTTCACCAATTGTCTTGTGTTCGGCTCTGAGGATTGTTTGTTTATGGTCCAATGCCACTACAGAATTACCTTTTGGCTATCTTGACACTGAGTTCAATTGTAATGGGTATTCTTAAAGTGGTTCTTCTGAATTCAGGGAGGCGCATGCGAATGCATGATCGTATAAGAGCGTGATTGTAGTCCAGACAGGTATTCCAGAACGAGCGACAGTCTACTATCGAGCCTCTTCTACGATTACTGATGGCAATATAGTCTATTTGAGTCCATCTTTGGTTTGGTGCAGGGGGTCTGCATATTAGACGACGTCTCTCCTTATGCTTAAAATAATATTTGCTAAAAATGAATGATTGTCTAAGTACAACTGGTCCGAAATACAAAAATACCCACCTAAATGTCTTTCTGTTTGGTTTACGTTACCTACCTGGGCATTGAAGTCACCTGTTACAAGTAATATGACTGAACGCTTAGCTTTTTGAGGAAGTACAGAATGCTTTCTGCGGAGTTCAACTTTCACTTCATCCTGACTGTAGTCAGTGGGGGAGTAGGCAGAAATGACGAAAAGGCAGTGACCTGTATTCCTATCCTTCCGAATTCTTACAGAGCTATTTAATCAAACAACACACACGCGACTGTTTACAGGGATTCATTCCAATAGAGCTTGTTCTGCCCACATACTTGGTGCTACGTCTGCACCAACCAGTCCGCTAGAATTCGTCGTTCATTCCCCAGATACACGGAGGAAGTATCTCGTCAGCTCCCGTTTTGGCCGGGTGAGGTCAAGTGAATGATCACACTAGGGTCTTGTATGCGTGTTTTGGAGAAACAACATACAGCAATCGTACAGGGTTGTAGGATCCTAATCACGGAGGCCTGTTGACCGATTTGACATAGGATATATACGTTGAAGTTTACAGTGCTTAGGGAGAGAAGGAGGAATTTTATCTTTGATAGTCGAGGTGGGATGAGCAGTGGAAATTGAGGAGGAAAAGTTGTTATGAATACATTGGTCGTGAGTGCCGTTAGAGATAGAATAGTGGATATCAATTCACGATTGTCCGCACCGCGCAATGGTCCTTCTAAGGGTACCTGAAAAGGACATGGGATTATAGTTGGCTTTTCTGGCCTGAGAGCGTGAAGGCAGTGCCCAAGGGACAAGTGCTTGATGCCAGTTACACGTGACCCTTTTGTGGGTAATTTTCATGTTAGCTCCATACTTGTCGAGACTTAACCGCTGACATGAAAATCCGTGGGATAAGGGGAGATGTACATGTTTAGGGACGACTTTTACAAACCACATCATTCTTTTTTGAGAGGGCAGCATCGCTGTTATGTTGATTGTTTGAAGGAAACGCCTTATTGCCATCATACCTCTGTACAGTCAGCAGTGCTATTTTGCCTTCGGACCTTGGGTTTCTTGCTTTTTGTCTTACTGCTCTTCAATCGATCTGCTTCGCGTGGTAGGACGTTGAGCAATGAGTGTTCTAGCTGTATTGGTCGATCAGTTCATCACGACAGGTAAGCTTGACTGCCGCGTCAAGGTAGCAGCGACGGTCAAGCGTAACATAAGATGCAAAACAAACACTTGCTTTAATCTAAGTTTTGACCTTCGAATAACATCGAGCCCTCTACTTTTACTCTTCTACCCCATGTCTATGTTTCCAAACTGTTTATTCAGTCAGTATGTTGCTACGTTATTTTCTATTATTTCTAAGAAAACCTTACAAGCTCGTGACTCTTGTTGTCTAACCAGACGAAGGAAAAGGACACAACCTGACGCGACTGCCGATACAATTTCCAAACGTTTTATCGATTAATATTACCTGGTTTACACAGGAACAGATATTCATAAGTCAGTTATTGTCAATTCAGATATTCCTAAGGCACTTATATTGGACAATAATCACAAAAGTCATTTCAAACATAAGGATGAGATCAGAATGTAGCAAGTTAACGAGGAAACTCCAGGTCCGCTTAAGTTTCTTATAAATGTTGACCTCACCAAAATTAAGGTTGAGATAAATGTCACGATTAGTTTCCTGAACTCTTTTGTCTCATAGATGATTGAAAGAATAAAACGGTCCAGAAATGCAATCATTTTTAATATGTCGGACATTCGTGTTTTAAAATCTATGAAGTCTAAGCCTGCAATAAGACACGTTTTATTTGTGCACAATTCTAAATTGACATTTTGATAAGCATTTTCGGATATTGTCCAAATTCAACAAGTCTGTAGAAGCAAGTGAATTTCTGAATTTCCCGAATGCAATGAGACGAAAACCGATTTTCACGAATGCTCAAAGTCTACGAAAAGTCAGAATAAGTGGCTACAGATCATTAGCGTCAAGGTGCCACATCAGTCCGAATAATGAAAATCATAAAACTAAGGCTGGTATTAGAAGAATCTCTGAGTACACAGATATGTCGCCACTGATAAGTTCTCTAAATCTCTTGAAATTCCGAACACAGAAGAAGCCCACTATGTCAACGATGCTCTCTCTCCCCAAAAATGTCGATTTAGATCAGACCATAAGGTTTTCCTGAAAAGGACTCAGATAATACCCCTGAAATTTCCGTTAGTGTAACACCCAATACCAGTAACTGGAAAACAATTAGCGCCAGAACGATGCCGAAAGCACTAAAAACAATCATATACCAGACATAGGTACGTTTGAACCTTGGAAACAGCCAGAATCATGCCTAATAACGTTGAATTCTCCACAAATTGCAAAGTAACCATGAAGAACGACAAACCTTGTAAACATACTTCTGGAACAAGCTACGCGCACGTCAAATACAAGAATATCTCGAATCACAGACTATTATTTAATAGGGCCCATCGAACCAATAGCCTTCTTAGTCTGGAGCCCATGATGTCTACAATGCCTGTATGAGATGTTATATACAACAAAGATCAGGAGAGATGTCTTACAGTTTTGCCAGCTTCCCTGCCTACGGTGTTAAATGTGTTACAAGTGATGACAAAATTACTGAATTCACACAATTCATAACTTAACCAATCTCACGAGTATTCACTGATTTGCTACTTATGACCTGCTTTTTCAAGACACCTCTCATTTTCTCACTTTTTTATTTAGCGCCTGCCCTTGCTTCAACAATATTAGTTATCTTGAAACCCTTTAACGTCTTGTAAATCCAAGCATTTTTTTACCATGGAGTCGTGGTGCAGATCATATGTTACTAATAACTCCTTGCTCGTCGATAAGTACATCTTTTTCCATCCTATAGATACCCTGGAATGAATGGCGTTACAGTTGTTTATGTTCGCCGTTTATAGAGCTAATAAGAGCCAGAATGCTTTAAAGATTCTTAAGAGAAGACTGGGTAAATCAAAGTTCATAAGCCACAAGCACCACGACTTCTATGCGCTTCAGAACCTAAATAACTTGATTGACAGGAATAATTAGTTCCAACGCAAGTACCTTCCGAGTATTGGAACTAAAGATTTGAGTAAAAAGGTTCGGACTTATCAATACTTTGCATCTTCAAATCCCGGTCAAAATCTAAATCATTTAGTTCAACAATTTGATTCATAACTAACAGAAATATTGTATCCGACCTTGACGCTGTTTATGAACAGTTTCGTGTGAGAGCTTTTCTTATTACAGGGCAACAAAGGGTAAATGTGCTGGAAGAAGAAACTAAACTCGCAAGATGGTGTATGATAGTATTTTACAACTAATCTTTCCCTTTTCGTACCGGACTACGTGGTTCGATTTTTGGAATATATATGCGTTGTTAACAACACAAATGCTAGCACATCGTGTTCTTCCTCCTCACACATTCACTGATCCTGACTTGTGTGCCGTTGTTTTAGATCTTTTCTGCTTCCAAATAAACGTGGGTGACACGTGCTACAGTGGTAGCTGTTTAGCCATGATTTTTCAAATTAAGGCAGTTACTTTGTGTTGGGCAATTCATTCACAGTGATATTTATTGATAATAACAATTTGTAACTAGGAACTACTTCAGAAACAGCGCTACACACAATAATTTCGGTATACAAAGTGACATACTGTTCTGCCGATTTCACTAGACGTGTTTCTATCCCGAGGGTTTTGGAATATCCATCGGTCTTGTGACTGTCTATTAAGGAGGCAAATCATTGTTCTGAATAAGTTTTCTCGTACACAATTAGCTGTGAAATATCTGAATGAGTGACATACAATAGCCTAAGTGTACTACGCGTTGGTAGCGATCTATTTTGCTTTGTGGAAGTAAGACGTCTCATTTAAAAATTGGACATAAGTCTGGTCGAAGAATTGCCCATTCATAGTTCCGAGGTTAGACGTAATGTATCCAGAGTTTGTATTATTCATTTCCAAACATCAACAAATTCCATGGGTCACCATTCATTTGTTATCCAGATTGTAGGTAAAAGTTTACTTGGGACCACACTGGTTAGTTTGGGTATCAGTCATATTTCAGCATTGTTACAACTAACTACTGTACCACGTACTTCAACGACAAATCCTGTCCAGTATCGCAGGTATCCTGAATCTGCATTATGCAAGAACAACTTATGAAGGTATGGAACAGATGTCAGATTTAAATGCTGCTATACATTAAGAAACATTAAATCCAATAGCGCTAAATTTGTGACGCTAGTGAGTTCCACATTACCATATATGTGCTTATAGAGGTATCCTAAAACCCAAGAAGACTATAATCTCACTGAACTCCATAGATATCAAACAGGTTCTGATTTTCCCTCATCAAATGACCGACAATAATCACCCTGACCATTCAGAAAGTATACGAGAAACACGTAAGTAGTTGATAATTAATAGTTTATATATATATATCGGTAACGTTGTACTAGCTGTGTGATGTATCAATGTGAGTCAGGTTGCTGTATTTCCTATTTATTCAGTTCAAAATAACTAAAAACGTTTGTACATAGCGTGTGTTGGTTTTTATTCATGTCCCTGGATCATTGAATCACAGCTACATATGTACATATATGTTGACTATATTCATCAGAAATTGTTGGTATTATCAAAGTGCCACAGGGTCATTGTTCAGTTGAATACATTGAGCTACATGGGGTGTTGTGTTTTAAGATATTTATTTACTCACTAATTTTGTGTACGACATGCTAGTTCTAAATCTCAGTTTGGATTATGCAAACGATAGTCTGTTTAGCCCAAAACATTGAGATGAAGAATTCCCTGAAATCAGAAGCCTAAGATTCATTTCACATGTATCAAACGTTAAATAATATTGTATTACGAGTCTACACTGACATCACATGACTTTAGATTGGGAAATGAAGTGATTAAGTGTAAACCTGTTTATTTATTTTGCGGTGCGTTTATCCCAATGTGATTCCTGTAGAGATAGATAGCTGTGCTTATCAAGTGGGTTTCGGGATGTTTATCAGTGCACGAGTATGATGTGCATCGAACCGATTTGCGCTTCAGCAGTGAGAGCATACAGTGTATACTCAGCAGTGTCATCAGGTATGACGGTGACCCTAAGTTACGACTAAAATTCCGACACATGAGCAGGTTTATTCGTGTCTTTTGTTGAGTCTCAAATCTTATTTTACTTCCCTTATTTGTGATTTTTTCAGTTACATCTTTCTAGTTTGTTTTAGTATCTTCTCACCCATGCAGATCTATGTGTTGTTGCAGCATATATTTACTTGAATCGATGGGCTTTTGTTGAGTTATGTTCCGTCATGTTTGCTCGTTTGTCTTCGTACAATTATTAACCCCCAACTAAATGCAGCTGATTAGTGGACGCTTCATTATCGTATTTTATTTATGGGCTATGTTATTAGCCTAAGTAATTAAACCCAAACGGACAGTTTCTTTAATGAACCAAAGATTCGACTCAAGTTCCTAGTTTACAAAATAGCTGTACAGCGTAAGGGCTATATTCCCTGATGGGGAGCTATTAGAGGGTGTATATTTACATCTACATTCTTACTTAAGCTCGATTATCTCTTCTGAACAACAGACCGCCGACCAAAGGTTTCTAAACAACTCTACTTCGGGTTCTCCTTCCCAGTTGTTGTCATGTGCTATTCATTCTTTTGATATGTGCCTCCGATTCCTGGTGCATCCTGATATTTGATCTAGCCATTCCCTTTTGCCTTGACTATTCCAAGTTAATCCTTCCTTTGTGGAGTTTGATGATCCTCAGAATTTATGCCCTACCTATCTTCAACATCGTTTGGTAATTTCCTCATCAGCTGGAAGCTGAATGCTCTCTCATAATCAATGACGTTGATGCTTAGTGATGAGTTCGAGTCAATTGACTGTTCAACAATAACTTGTACTCATTTGTATCGGTTGTTTGTATATTCTCATTAATGTTGAGGACCGCAATTGATCAGTTTCTTTTGACATATATGCATCCTGTGAGGATTGCCTTGATACTGCTATTAAATGACAGGTATTATAAACAGAGGTCGCGGAGTGAACTCTGAAATGCTGGTACATCTAATCGATGAGTCCCAAGTAGGACGAAACGCGCGTCCTGAATTTCACTGCTAGGCACCATCCACCTCTGCTTATTGATTTGTGTTGTCGATTTGTTTGGCATATGTTCGGTACTCAAGAAAGCCAGCTTGTTCGTCTCTAAGTTGGGCGTCTACTGAACATTCCATTCAGTTTAACAGCGTTCTGTCTAATCGTTTTCTTGGTACTGACAGTAGTGTGATGCCTCTGTAGTCCTCACACTTGATGAGATCTTTCTTTGATATCCCATTTTCCGGCCTATTGATACTTGTTCTTGCTCCCAAATCATTCTGAGGAGAACGTGGAATATCTTTGCAGTTACTTTTATCTCTTCAGTGCCTCAGCTGATATGCTATCTAGTCCTGCTACTTTCCTATTCTTGATTTGTCTGATGGTCTTGCTGATTTCTTTTGTTGTAGGTGGTGTGTCGTCTGTGAACAGGTCTGTGTGTGCTGATTGGATGTTTGGTGAGTTCAACAGTGCTGATTTGTTCCATAGCTCTTCAAAATGTCCTTTTTACTTGTTCCGTTGATCTTGAACTTCAGTGATGGATTCTCGTTTCTTGTTCCTGACTGGTCACTTTAGTTTAATATATTCTCCTACCAGTTTCTCGATTGTATCATCTAGTTCTTTCATATTTCGTTTCCTTGAAGCTTGTTCTGCTGTCGTTCCCAGGTCTTCTACGTATTTCCGTTTGTCAGCTATAGTGCTCTTCAGTTGTTTTTTGGTTATGTATATTCGACCTGTGCCTGTTTCAGCTTGGTTGTTGACTGATATCTTTTTTACATTTTCTTGAGTCCTGATCAAACCGTCCCCAGAAATCCATTCTTTATGGTGACACTCGTTAGGGTCCAGCACTTCTTGACATGTTCAAGTTATTGCTTCTTTAATCTATTCCCAGCTGTTCTTCATGGCGGTTTTCTCTTCTAGTAGGATTTAAATGACTTAGAACTTGTTGCTGAGACCCATCTTCAACTCTCTGGACTTGTCAGCATCACGAATCAAGGTTGTATTGAACTTTTACGGTGCTTCTTACCTAACTGCCACGTGCTTCTTTATCTTCAGTTTCAGCTTGACCACCATTAGGTAGGGATCTCAAACTATATCAGCTCCTCGATTAGTTTTTACGTTTTCCATGGATTCGAATTTCTTTATTAAATAAAATGTGATCGATCTGGTTTTCTATTGTGTAATCTGGTGAAATCCATATAGCTTTATGTATCGTTTTGTAGGGGAAATCGCTACTGCCTACAACAATGTTAAAAACATATAGACTTGTCAGTCTCTATCGCACCTAGTACTGTCCATCCCGACCTGAGCGATTAGCCCCCATCATCATTATGGTTAGGTCTTTTCCTAGACTGTAACCTCTCGTAAAACTGGTCCTTATCATCCCCTTTGTTGTCATTGGTGGGTGCGTCTCAGTGGGTGACATCCATTGTAACCCTTTCCTTTTTGGTTTTAAAGGATCCTTTGCCGATGCTGAGGCCATAAGTCTCCCATCCTATAAGTGCTTCTCGTGCTTCTGTGGACAGCATTAGCGCAACTATCTGTGCGTTTAAGGGGGTGGATTGGGTTTTCTACCTCATGATCAAGATACAGTAACAGCTCTCCTACCCTGGTAGGGACGATAGTGAAGAGAGTCAGCTTCCTCTCTCGGAATGCTCTCACATGGCCATGCATATGCAGCCACTACCAGGGAAGTCCTATTTATTGTCTTCCCGCGACGGGGTATTTTTTACGAAGTTGAGCGAACGAGAAATGAAGGCGCTTTCACAGGACCGGTGGATACAGAGCATCCATCTAGGGAAGTTGGAAAACCCTGATTCCAAACCGATGGCGTACATGCGCTTCAGGATCCTGAGGAGACAAAAAGCCTATGGATTTATTGTTGGTCACCGGCTATCATGAAACTACATCTAATGTTTCTCCACTGCCTTATGGATTAGGCCCCTAGGTCAAAGGCTCGAGGAGTGGGCACTCGGGAACTATCCCAGCCCTCATACAAATCAGATGTTGAAGTCTGGTGCATATATGTATAGTGCCTCCTTGTATCAATATTTGTGTGTTTAAATAAATAAATAAAACTCTTGGATTTAGTTTTTTCTTTCTGGCTTATGTCCAATGAGGTTCATCCATATAGAGAGCGACTAGATCTTATCTTTTTGTTTCTAGCGCTTTTCGTATGATCCTTCCGGTCTTCCACAGTTCCTGAGATTCTATTTACGTGTATTATTTTCTGTTCTGGTTGTCTCAAGGGGCACCAGCCTCACGTCTTCCAAGGAACGTCGATTCTCACCATGCGGCATCATAACTCTTCTGTATGAAGAGCCTTCAAATCCAAAAGCCGAGTTTAGTTGGTTTCAAATGGCTTTCTCTGAATTGAAACTTTGTTGCCAAGTTACCTAAAACTAAAGCTGTTTATAATCTCAGTGGGAGTTTTTTTGTCTTCTGCCTTGAAGTATTCGTATACAAAGCCCATAAAAAGGTCTGGGATATGTCTTATCTAACTCTTTCTTATATAACGATTTTACCTCTAGTTGACTGTCCACAACATCAACAAAATCATTCAAAGTGAGGGTAATTAATGATAAAGCATTTGTCCTGAAAGCATTTAAATAAAATATGGAAATGTTCTACGTTATTAACTTGCACAAATCCTAAGATTCGTTAGATGTCAGACAACAGCAATGGCATAGTGGTTGGAACACTTGGTTTCTAACCATTAGGGTTTGAGTTTCACTCAGCATGGTTTTGTCTGGACAACTGGATGTTATCAACAGCCTTTGTATCAAAAGTACAATTGGCTCAGAATTATGTACCTGGACCTATATCAAGCTTCAATTTTATGTTATTGGATACAACTACTTACTTTTCATCGGGATCCTTCGATAGTTATATGCTGATGTTCCATATAATAATCGATGTTACTGTATTCTTAACTTCCTACTCCCTGTCTCTCAAACACCAATAAATTCACAGTTGAACTCATCTTCTGTTCAATATCTTTTTGCTCTCAGACTAATGCTTTTTCCGAACAATTTTTTAAATTCGAAATAATGTTCCCACTAAAATGTGATGTGAATTGGCTGAGATGCTTTTTCCAATGTTTTTACACAGTATTATTGCATATTTTATATAAATATTGGAGTGAATGGTATATTTCGTCGGAAAATTATTTTGTGAAGTTTGTATTTATAGTCTTATGTTTGAAAGCTTCCATGAAGTATCAAGGAATTTGTCGAAAGTTTGTTAAATTGGTTACCTTTGCAAAGTTAATTGTGATTGTGGTTAAATACATGAGTTGATACAATTGAAGACATTTTGAATGGCATAAATCTAGTCGGATATTTATGTCAACAGTATGAAAAGGTTTGCAGATACGATAGCCGAATGTATCACGGTTAAAATAATTCAAATTATTAACGTTATTTGCTCACTAGTGGCTAACTTCAAGGGGAAATTCCTGGGGTTTTATTGAAAAGCCGTGACCAGTGGAGTTCACTCGTGTTAGGCGCAAGTAAGGTACCCACCGAAGACATTGGAAGATGCTTGTGCAATATCGCGGATCGTTTGAAGTTAGACTTGTACGCCAGTAGACCTCGGCTCAGTGGTCTAGAGGTAAGGGGTTGGTGCACAAGACCCAAGGCCCTGGGTTAGATCCCCGGCTGCGGGGTCGTGGTTCAGTCAGTCAGTCAGTCAGTAACAACTTAGAACTTCGTACGTACGTACATCAGTTCGAGTTGCCACACCATCTTAACACAGAGATGCAGTTGTCGATCCAAATCCCGTAGTGGTAGAGGTAGCAAGAGTGTAAGCAGTAATCGGGAAGATTAGTGTTTTGAGATGTTATTTAATGAGTATAATTCAGTGAAATATATTTGGAAAGAGGAAAAAAGGGACATGAAGAATTCAGAAGATTATAATTTCGGAGAACACAAAGAGTGGATGCACCTGCGCCATTGTAAACGATTTTGAGCCATGTCATTCAGGGTCTCTAACCATCGGTTGCTATCATCTCGCGGTCCCCAACCAGGTAGTCTATACCTATCAACATGACTCAGACAACTTGTCAGTGACTTCATGGACTTGAGCCATGTTTTGGTCTGGCCGCCCCTAGCTTTCTTCCAATCTACTCCTATACAACAAAACATCGCACGTCGAGGCAGTCGGTCGTTGGGCATACGTAACACGTGTCCCAGCCATCTCAACTGATGAAGTTTCACTACTTCATCAATTGATTTGCCATCCTTACCTAGTACCCGTTTCCTAACAACTGTGTTACTTACTCGATGGTCCCATGATATACGAGCAATGTTTCGAAGACATCTATAGTCGAATACTAGTAACTTACGAATATCCTCTACTCTTACCGGCCATGTTTCACTGCCATAAAGTAGGACGAGACGTACTGCTGCACAGTAAACCCGTCCTTTGGTTGATAGACGGATATCTCGCCTACGCCATAAATGACGCAAGTTGGCAAAAGCTAGTCGAGCCTTCTGTATCCGTGCTGAGATTTCGTCACACACCAGACCACAAGGGCTGATGAGACTTCCAAGATAAGTGAAGCGGTCGACACACTCAACTACTTCACTCCCTATCACTAGTTCGGGTGTCGATGTAACCCAATCCTGAAGCAACATTTTACATTTCGAGGGAGAGAATCGCATCCCGAACATGCTTGCATTGTTGCTTAGAGTGGTCAGAAGACTCTGCATTTTGTCAGCGTCTTCACCAAATAAAACTATATCATCAGCATATTCTAAGTCAACAAGTGAACCTCCCGGTAGAAGTTCAACCCCTGGAAATTTAGATGAGGAGAGTGTTATCTCTAGAAGTATGTCGACCACAAAGTTGAACAAGAATGGAGAGAGTGGACAGCCCTGACGAACACCACTTGATGTAATCAATTCTGATGACAGTTCGCCATAAGCTCTCACTCTACCAGTTGTGTTCGAGTAGAGAGCCTGAATAAGGTTTATGTACTTCTTTGGTACTCCTTTCAGTGACAAACACTGCCATAGAACCTTACGATCAACAGAGTCGAATGCCGCCTTAAGGTCGAGAAATACTACCATTGTGGGGTGTCTAAACGTGTGTCTGTGTTCTAGAACCTGACGTAGTGTGAATATTTGGTCTTTACAACCACGTCCAGGTCGAAAACCAGCCTGATTTTCTCTAGTCTGTTCTTCACGAGCTTTGGTTAGGCGTCGAAGTATTAGTGAAGCTAATATTTTAGACACTATATTAGTCAAACTGATTCCTCTGTGATTGTCACAAGAGGACTTTTGTCCTTTCTTATAGACTGGCACAATCAGTGATTGAGACCAGTCAGATGGGATTACGTCCAGTTCCCAAATTCTACCTAAGACCTCGGTTAATCTCATTGCTAATACTGGACCACCATCCTTAAAAATCTCAGGAGTAAACCTGTCAGGGCCTGCTGCTCTCCCTCGTTTCAGACTTCCTATGGCTTTTTCAACTTCGTTAAGAGACGGAGGACCTGCATTAACTTGCCATTCAGGTTGACTAGAGATCGTGGGTAACCGAAGTGTGGCTGAAGGCCAGTTGAACTGATCCCTGAAGTGTTCTGCCCATCGATCCAATCTCCTGGATTGGGAATGAATAATATGTCCATCTTTCTCTGAGATTGTTTCGCTAACGGTCGGGTTCCTAATTCCGGTTTCCTTAACGAGTCTGAACAATTGTCTGCTATTACCTATTGCCGCTGCCTTCTCCATCTCTCTTGCTTTCGCTACCCACCACTGTTCGCGATCATTGCGTAGACTTTTTGTCAGCTTGCGCTTAAGCTGACTCCGCTCTTCACTATGTTCAGAGCCAGGTGGAATGAGTTTCCGAACATCTATCAGTGCGATAGATGCTGCTGAAATCCAGTGTCGCTCTCTAACCTTCTGGTTTACCTTACTAGCAGATATCACTGCTGTTTCCACAGCTTTTCGGATATCATTCCATGCTGCCTCGGGGGGGGCATCACATACATGGCTGCCTAACTGTTTTCCTAGTTGTTCCTGAAATATACTCTTAGCTTGACTATCATTAAGTAGGCCCCTAGGAGGTTTCCTTGCAGCGTCTTTCCTACGTCCAGTAAGACGCAAGCAAATACGTGCACGCACTAGAGCATGATCTGAATCTAAGCATGTGCTCCAGAATGAGCGACAGTCTTCTATCGAGCCCCTCCATCGGTGGCTGATAGCGATGTGATCTAGTTGGGTCCAACGTTGAGACGAATTAGGGGGTCTCCATGTTAAAAGATGTTTTTCCTTATGCTTAAAGTTAGTATTTGCAAGGAACAGGCGATTATCTGAGCATAGCTGCAACAGACGGTCGCCATTATCTGTTCTCTGCGCCACGACACCATAAGATCCACCTAGGTGTCTTTTCCTATCGCTTAGTTTACCTATTTGAGCATTAAAGTCACCGGCCACTATTACTACATCCGAGCGCCTAGCTTTTCGGAGAAGGTCGGAAAGCTTTCTATAAAACTCATCTTTTACATCATCTGAGCTGCAGTCAGTGGGAGAATAGGCAGAAACGACGAAGAGGCAACGACGAGTGTCCCTATCTTTCCGGATTCTTACTGTTCCGTTCAGTCGGACAGCGCACAAACGCGAGATTCTAAAGTCCTAGCTAAGGAAGCCTGCTGTCCTATTTGGCACAGTGTTCGTACGTTAAAAGCTCCAACGTGTAGTTTAGAGCGTGGTTTCAGGAGACCAGGAATAGAGTTCCACGTACTCGAATCGTTTGCCCTATCGGTGCCAGGTGATAAAGAGACATGAGGAGGGTTAGTCATGGAAATAAGAGAGGTATTAGGAGGTGTAGGAAGGATTTGAATGTGACCAACTTGGTCTCGTGTGTTGTTACGGGTATGAGGGCTGATGTCACTTCCCGGCTGCCCACACCGTGGAAGGGTATTTCTTGAGGAACCTGAAAAGGAAATTGGATTAATGTTGGTCTTGACGTGGTTATTCACTACTAAAATGTCTTGTACTTGAAAGAAACGGTCGTCCATGGCTCTCAAGTTCTCAGTGGTTGTCTAATCTAGGTCGGTTTTTATTCTCAATTATATATCAACGTTATTGTTTTCTTATCCTTTTGATCATTCAACATAGCTCGCCTACAACTTAAGCATTCTAATTATTTGTTATATTTTTCTATCTACACTTTGACTATTAATGACGATACTACTTACTATGGTAACACTAGTGCTCACATTAGAGCTACGATCTGTGCTAACACTGGCTGATCCATACAAATTTTCTTTCTTCTTTCCCCAATCTGCTACCCAATCAGAGAGGAAGAGGAGGCAACCGACTAAGCTTGTTTTATCGTAGACTTGAGAATTCACATGAATAAATGCATGAAATACAAACCGAAATGCCCTATCAATTAGAAATCTCAATTTGCTGATAACTAGGTTGTAATTTGTGTATGGTAAAAGACGATATATCTACAGTCATTGACTTTAATGAAAGTGTGGAGTTAGGGAAACATAATATTTCATATTATATACTTAGTAGATACCCAGTAAGATATATATGTACTAGTTCACCGGAGAATAGTTTACAGATTTCCATGTCTCCATTTATCCTTTCATTTCGTAACATTATTCTGTAAAGAAACTAGATAAGGGTTAATTATTTTACCGTATACACATTCTATCAGTTACTCGTAGTTGTATTTTGCATGATTACCATGTATCTTTTAATACAGAAGTTTCTATTCAGTACGCTTCTGATTTGTGTAGTAAGTGGCTATGAAGTTCAGCAGTTCTAATCAACTTCTACAATACTATTAGTTCAAAATAACTTGTGGCTTATTGTAAAACAGTAAAGACGTACTTCGTTGCTAGGTTGTGCTTTCTTTGCTCTTCGATGTTATTTGTTTATGGTAACTGGTATCCTATTAGCATTTTAAGTAACCTGTTGTCTGATTGGAAATATTACGAAAATCTCTACCGATTGATGTATTTTCAGCCAGGAATAATGAAGATACCTTCCCAGGCTTTGTTTCACCATTTAGTATATTCTCAGATCGTCCATCAACTTCTGCATTTGCTAATATTGGACAAATCGAACCTACACATCCTCCAATAGAGCAAAATCAACGGGTAAGATCTTCAGCATAAGCTCCCTAATATTAGTGAAATTTGATTTGAACCATTTTTTTTTAGTATTATATATTCATTATTCACGCTGACCACTGTCATTAATAAATGTCTTAAAGATTATTTATTAGGCACAACTTTGTGGCTGTCATTTTGGTTCTGTCGTTTAATAGTAGTAATATCAATACCGTTAATATGATGAGATTGGTTCATCAGCCGGTCTCTAGATATATATATTCCTGGCACTATACGACTATTGTGAGTCACACATACATTTCAATTCAAGTAACAATTATAGAATGTTGTTTAATTTTACTTACTTTAAAGTACTTCAGTAAGGTGATTACATCTATGTTAAGGTTAATATAACAATGCACCTTGACATTCTGTTTCATCTCCGTCTCCCACCATAAAGAGAAAATAGAGTAGACTTGGAAGAACGGTAGTTGTTCAAATAATTATGTTTCAATATCTTAGTGATCCTGGTCAGGACCCTATGCTCTACATGGGGTGAGAGGCGTAAGAATGAATCTCTTAATGGACCTCATCACAAGAAAACTTTATGGTCGTGGCATTTTAGATAGATGTAACCCATGGTTCATACAAATCCATGTAAATTTAATACGTTTGATTAGATTACTCAATAAAATAGTATCCTACGAAATGAAGCTTAAATTTCGCCTCATCGGTTACAAGAGTAGAGTCTGGTGTGTATGCGTTTCTTATATAAGAAAAGAGCAGAAATCCTTATATTCATTGAAACCTGCAACTTAGCTACCCTATACACACCTGTACCATGCTTCGTGGCAATTCTGTCTTGTTCAAGCCAGTAAATTCGACTAGTTACTAGTTGAACACTTTATCTGTGAAACTATAACCACACACTGAAACAGTACTTGGATAATAAGACTTTGTTGAACACTTGGGATTAGCGTAACATTTTCACTCATTTAAACAATGGGACAAAAGCTCTTAGTTTCTGTATTCTAGGAAACCTGCATGGTAACTTATCATTCCTTTAATTGAGTACGTTATTAGAATTTACGTTTGTCTGATCACCAAGTGGTATGGTTCATATTCAAGTACCTGAAGAATGAGTTAATTCGAATTCTAAATTCTATGCTAGGTTATTACTAACGTAATTAACTGACAAGATGAAATGAAATTCTAGCCGATGACAATGAATCAGACATTTTATACTTCAATAACTTGTAATGATATCCCAGTTGGTTGATTTTTTTTTCACTGTTAGTTGTACATTAATGGGATCTTAGTAATGAATTTTATTTTTGAACAGCTATTTACATTGTGAAGTACATGAAATGGGCGTTAATTACAATCTTCTTTAATTGAAGTATATCAGCACTTTGTCAGATCTATTTTGTTTAAAGGTACCTTTTTGAAACACATTTCACCATACTGTTGAGTCAGTCTGAATGTAATAATCATCGTTGAAACAAGTAAAATCTACTTTTTAATAGCTTGCCAGTTTCTAAAACGTGAATAAATCACATATAAAACACATATAAACATACTGAATAGTAGTAATGGAAAAGTGCAACAGAATGATTAACTAGGATTAACAATCATACATATAATAAGAGTAAAAGTTCCATTGATACCATATCACTTTATTTATAGACATTACTCTAACACAGAGTAGATTCAGTACATTAAAATCTTTCATAGTGAGATTAATGCAGGATGATGGTGATGGTCTACTATAAGATTTCAAATGTAATTTTCACTTCATTTGTGACTGATTAACTGAATTCTCCCAACAAGATGATATTATCTTCGCGGGGTTTCTCCGTATGGGTTCGAATCCCATCCCCTTCGCCACTGTTATAATTTTGTTCTATTACAACCCAGCTATTTCTATTGCTTAGTAGTCTTGGACACCAATTCACTCGAGAAGTCCCAAAATCGGAACACGGTTGAAAATGAAGGAGATTGTATTCCAAATAACAGCGGTAGATGGAAGTAAGAAACACAATAAGAAAAACGATAGTATATTTATAGTTTTCACATATGAAGATTCTAGAGTTTTCTCCAAGTATCGATTAGCGCTGGTCGGATAAGGATTAGCCAATCAGCGTGCGTCAACGCAAACATGCATGGAACATGCTTTAATCCAATTTATGTCGCGCTAACAACTTGATCTCAAGCATTAATGCATTACTATTTACTGAGCTATCGAGTTTAAATAGTTACTAACTCATTCATTGGGTGTAAAAGTTTGTTAGTAAGTATTTATTATTTCTTTTCAGGACTGAAATTAATCAGTATCTGTTGTCATATATTATGTTATGTAATGTATTACATAAACAATTTTTGTTATTGTTATATATTTTTAGCCAAGAACTTTAGGCGAAACTCTAGGCATCAGTTTGGAAATGTCGTCGTCACCATTTCATCAAAATCAAGCACCATCGTCTACTTCATTTAATGAATTTAAAGTAAGCTCCGCTTTGAATAATCGCTTTTTTTCACTTAATATCGTCGAATCTTGATGTTTTTTTCTGAGCTAAGAAAATCAATAATAATATTTTCTGGAAATCTTGAAACAATCCACCTTGATTTGCGAACATGATCAGTCTGATAGATATTAGAGATGCACAGGTTATTTTAGTGAAGACTTGTGAAAAATATGTTAATAATATAAAGAATTGCTCATGTACCCTGGGACCATCGAGTAAGTAACACAGTTGTTAGGAAACGAGTACTAGGTAAGGATGGCAAATCAATTGATGAAATAGTGGAACTTAGTCAGTTGAGATGGCTGGATAGTGTGTTACGTATGTCCAACCACCGACTGCCACGACATGCGATGTTTCATGGTGTAGGAGTAGGTTGGAAGAAAGCTAGGGGCAACCAGACCAAAACATAGCACAAATCCATGAAGTCACTGACAGGTGGACTAAGCCATGTTGGTAGGTGTAGACTACCTGGTTGGGATTCGTGAGACGACAGCAACCGATGGCTAGAGACCTTGAATGACATAGCTCAAAATCGTTTGCAATGGTGTGAGCAGGTGCATCCACTCTTTGTGTTCTCCGAAATTATAATCTGAATCCTTCATGTAATTTTCTTTTTTCTCTTTCCAAATTTATTTAACTGGATTATACTCCTTGAATAACATCTTCAAACCCTAATCTTTCCGATTATTACTTATAATTTCATTACCTCTACCACAATGAGATTTTAGTCGACAATTGCATCTGTGTGCTAATGTGGTATGGCAACTTGAACTAATGTACGTAAGTACGAAGTTCTATGTTGTTGATGACTGACATATCTGAGTTGACATTATTTTTCTGCAAAGGATTATCTTGACAGACAATATATACACAGTAATAGCCATAAATTCTGTAAAGATAGATTTCTCTTCATAATTAGAGTTTACCCAGTGAAATACTTAAAATCAGTCACTCAACTATAATGCCTTGTTCGTTTTAAAATGGTGGATAACATCACAGTTTTACATTTTTTGCATCAGTTTTGTTTTGCTATCAGCCGCAATGAACGAATAGTTACCAAACATTCAAGATTTAATTCCTAATGTGGTGAATAGTCTACAAAATGTTTCTTGATTGATTATTATGTCCAAATTAATAGGAGGACAGTTAAAATCGTTTGGTAAGTTATATTGCTAAAATCTGAATAACAACATCGTCAGTTACTGCAAGTTTATTGGCTTTTGGATTGAGAGAAACATATTTAGCGACCTTGACTGGATCAATAATACAATCGTAACACCTTGTCCAGACGTCTGTCTCACGGTGTTGTTTCGAAGTGGCATGTGATTTGTTTAGCGTCGCCTGACGCATCACTAAGTTGATGGTGATTGTTGGTTCGAATCCAGTTCAGGACTGAGTTTTCTGCTTACGAAATTAATTTCATGCTTTCGCGAACATAAGATCATAATAGGTTGCAGTTAATTTTCCAGTGGTTCTGTCAGATCAAATAAACGATGATCTTTTTTTTTTGGTGGAGTTTTGTTCTCTGAGCTGGATGGTTTAGTCGTGGAGCTTTCATCGATCTTCTGAACGACATCATCAGCACAAAATTCAAATAGAAGACTGCTGATGATGTCGTTCAGAAGATCGATGAAAGCTCCACGACTAAACCATCCAGCTCAGAGAACAAAACTCCACCAAAATCATCCACCTGAGCTACAAATCTTCTCCACCATCTCAAAACGATGACCATATTCAGATATCATATAGGAAGCAATTTCCTACAAGTGTATCTCTAAGCTATTCTCTAGACTGTAGAGCACAGAGTCTTGGTTTAACCAAAGTCAGAACAAGTAAGCTATTTGGCTTGATAAACTTTATCTGTTTCTAAAACATAAATCAACACCGTTAGTATACAATACAAACAATACAGTCTATTAACACGGGAAAACAGAGACATAAACAACATACCGAACAGTAGCTAGAGGATAGGAAAAATGAGTCAACAGGGCAAATATTGTTGTATAATAAACATAAAATTGTGATTGGTGAATAAACTAGACATAGTCATACAAGATCAAAGAAAGTTAATGTGGTGGTGAGCGTTTCATTTTATCATCAGTGAGTTCGTTTATTGATCACACTTTACAATCATGTGTAGGTTTTGTAGACACAGTATACATCAGCAGCTGGAGGTTCTAAAATTATAGTGTGTACGACTTAACTCAGGAATCGAGTGCTGAATACTTCAACAATAAATTTTCATTCTGGTGATGATTTTAAGTGACTCACCGTTTTTAGCTAATTAGAAAAAGGCTGGTATAAATAAAGAGTTCACCAAATCCAACTAGGAAAACTACGAAGTACATATTGTTCATTAATGAAACTCAAAACATTTCAGTATGAATATATTTATGCGAACGTAAATAGTGTTTTGAACTTTCGCACATTTTTTCCGTTTGATTATTTTGAACCCCTGTTGCATTCCTTTGTTCGACTCAGTCACGAATCCGTAAAATTTTGATGAACACAAGTCATTAGTATTGATAACATACATAGAAATTGAAATAAAACCAGAGGAATGCTGATAATCGGAACATAATATAGTATAGAAAAGTTGGGGTTGGATCTTGAACACGATGAGCTCGGTCGTTCTTCTAGATATGTTATTGGTAGTCTTCATATGCAGATTATAGACTGTCACCATAAACCCTATAGAAAAGATGCTTGAAGATGATCTTAGACAATCATTTTTGAGCAAGGTAATGTCTGATGTGATTAAGATCGATCCTTTCTATTTCTTCATTCTGTGAAAGGGAAGTATCGCTCCAGGTAATTCTCACTAACAGGAAACTTTTTTTGCTTCTCTACCTCCGCCGTTGACGGTATGACTTCACAATTCAATCTTTGATTTAAAGCTTTTGTCCTACCACTCCCCACTATGATCTTAAAAAACAAAAGTTTCAACAAATGTCAGGTCATCGAGATAGACCATTCTAAACAATGCGTTAAGTTGAAAATGGCTCCTAAAAATTAGCATTCTTAGTGACTAATTATGATAAATTATCTATTGGAGCTTCAAGCAAACTTGTATGTTCTTTTTAGATTATTAATGATCGGGTATTTTTCATTCTTCAGTTATCACGTTATTACTTCGGCGGTTGAGTTTGCACAGTTGTAATGTGGTGTGTGCTACCTATATTGACATAAGTAGTATATGATGTGAACAGAAGGTCTGACATCAGAGAGACAAGAGGATCGAACCGTAAAGAATGGAAACAGGATGCAATTTGTATGAAAATGCAAGAACAATGAAGTCTGAGTCATTTTGAGACAATTGGTGGACATTTTGCAAATTAAGCATTTCCTTTATGATTGTTGGATTTTACTAACAAGTCCTGTAATTCTAAGTCAAGTACATCCGATTTTCCCCACTGGTGTTCGTGTTCATGTACAGTAGTATTACTGTACATGTGTTCTTATTTTTTAATCTTATGTATTTCATCTTTTATCTCATAGATTTGTTAGTTGATTTTGTCTTATTCATTGGTTTCCTTTAACTTACACTCTAGTTATTTCGCTTATAGTTCAAACTTGAACAATAAACTCAAACAAACAATCATGTCATTATAAATAAATTAATATATATTTGTAATACCGCAATGAGTAGAAAAATTAGATCTTCTGACGTTTCGTGACTTGGTATAAGCTACTTCTTCAGAGCCTCCAAATGCCCTGGTACGGCTGAGAGTAGGGAGAGTCCGCTCACCCTTTCGAAATGCTCTCACATGGCCACGCGTATATAGCCTCTGCCAGGGAAGTCCTACTCACTGCCTTCTCGTGCAGGGGGTGTTGTTCACGAAAATGAGAGGACGAAAAGCGAATGTCCGGTGCTTTAACCGGATTCCAAACCAATGGTGCACATGGGCTCCAGTATCCTGCGGGAACAAATGGCGTATGAACCAATTGTTGGTCACCGGCTACCATGGGAATGCATCTCCTTACGATTCGACCTTCAGGTCGAAGGCTCGGGGTGTGGCCCCCTAAGAAAACGACCTGCTTCGGTTTGGGCACCCGGGCAGTATTACAGCCCTCACACATATCGAATGAGATTTGTGTGGCGCGTATGTATTTGGTGCCTCTGTACCAATATCTATGTGTTGAAATAAATAAATACTTCTTCAGAGAATTAAAAGTGACTTATTTATAGTGAGTCATAAATTGTCAGAAAATCTAATTTTTCTACTCATTAGGGTATTATAAATATCTTAATTGCTTTATAGTAATTTACCCAATGTTCAATTTGTTTATCAAGTCAAACCTTGATAATGATACTCACAATGTTATGTCATTAGTTTATCTCATGGAAACATCAATGAGAAATCGTTAGAATAAAATACTTTTCATTTAAGGAAAAAAACATCAGTGTTTTCCTAATGTTAATTTATGAATTTTTATACACTTTTCTAATGATTTAATAACAATCATGCATAGTGATATGATAATGTTCATAAAGAATATCGTATTCTTTTTTGTTGTTGTTGTTGTTTAAATGTGACCGTTATATACTACTTATTTTTGCTATTTTAGTTTCCTGCTGATACTGAAGGAAAAGATTTGAACTCAAACATGTAAGTGTGTTTTTCTTTTGAATCTTAACTTCATATTTAGTTTGGAAAAAAATATTTCTTGTCTGTTACAGTTCTTATAATTCACTGAATGAATACACTGACACTACATAAAATTGCATAATATTGTGTTTAGTTGATTTAATAGTTCTACCTTTTATTCTATCTGACTATATTAAAAATGTATCCATTCTGTAATGGGTGTTTTACACACACACACACACACGTTTCAATAATTTCAACTTGTAAATAATCAGTTAAATTTATATACAAAGTTAAACTTATACTTTCCCGGCAATTTTCTTCAAAGTACTTATCCATTGAAGATTCACTATGCATTCATTGATGTATATATTGAAACTAATTCTTTCAGTTTATGCCTTGTACAATTACACTACACCAATGGTGTACATGGACTCCAGAATCCTGAGGAAACAAATGGCATATGAACCAATCGTTGTTCACCGGTTACCGTGGGACTACATCACCTGACGTTGCTTCACTGCCTTATGGATTGGACCTTTAGGTCAAAAACTTGGGGCGTCGCACCCCTCAATAAAACCATTTGCATCGGTTTGGGCACTATGGGAGTATCCCAGCCCACACATAAGTCGAATGAGTTATGTGGCACATATCTGTTTGGTGCCTCCGTGTACCAATGTTTATGTGTTTAAATAAATAAATAACACTATATTTATACGATTGTTTAAGCATTTGTTGATGCATAAATTCTGACGTGTATTTTGATGGTAAATGAGTTTGTAATATGATGTAATCTGTGGATATTTTTGTAATTTTTGTCCTTGTTCACATCAACGTCTTGACTACAGTAAGTCTCTTGTTGGCACAACACTTATTTAGTGTTTTCAAGATGCGAAGTAACAGATTTATATACAAGGACGGATAGTGGCTAACAGTGAAATCCAGGACGCGCATCTCGTCCTATCTAGGGCTCGCCAGCTGAATGTACCTGAATCTAGTTGATATTCACCCTGAGACTCGAACTCAGTACTGTTCATTTCAAACACCACCGTGTTATTCACTTAGCTACTACTGAGTCTTGACAGTCACTTGTTTGTGTAATGGGATGAAGTTTAAATTCACTTGGTATTGTTTATTTGAATCTTCCTATTGATGGTTAGAACTGCACATAGAGTAATATATTGTAAGCTTTGGATGAACTATAAATTTGTACAGGGTAGAACCTGTCGAAATATCTACGGGTAGTGAAATTATGTTTCTCAACTGCTTTTCTACATTTCTATATTATATTTATATGATATATCCAGTGATTTTTTCGGAGGTTTGTTCAGTCATTCTGCTTCAAATTAATTTTTATCAATAAAAATAGTTTCTCAAATAACTTGATCATTTTCTAGTTGCATAGTAATACCTTTGAAAACGAAGATGTGATAGCAACTTGTTAACCTCTTAGAGTTGTGTTTCAGATATTAGAATTTATGGTTATTTTGTTTAATAGAAACTATTATTCACTATCTGATAAGTCTTGTCAATTGAACGCTATACTTGTTCCTAAGCTATTCCGGCAACCCACAGTCTAGAACTACACAGCGACTTGAACACCAGAGAGAGAAGACACAAGTATGAGAGAAAACACTTTATCCCAAGGTTCATTTTTGTACAGAAAATCATGGGTATTTATAGATTTTGGCGTCTGTTAAATCAACATCATTTTACAGCCAATCCGATAACAACATATTATGCTACCGACCAATAGTAGCGCGCCACGTTGGAATTCTAGAACGTTCCATCACACTCTGATTGGCTAGGACTCTTCGGCTCCTTGTGGGCCTCTGGAGGCTCCGTTGAAGTTCTCCGGAAGCCGACCCAACACTATCATACAGTCATAACTAACTAACACATCTTGAATAGAACGAATAATAAATGGCTTCTATAGTTTTTCATGTATTTTCATTCTTTCAATTCATTCATTCCTTATAATTTTGACTGTATTCTTCCTCACCGTAATTGATAATGATACTGTTTCGACTTTTTCGGTACTTACCTTATCAGTTTTGTTTTTATGCGATGATGGGGGGTAGGTGGTATGTTGAATTGAGCTAGCTCATATTTGTGCTAGGTTTTATATTGATAACGACTAACTGATTGACCAGGTTGAAATTGCATTACACATCTTAAATTAATTGTCAATAATATTCAATATGTATTTATGTATAATAATTATTATTCAATGATTAGCTTTGGTTCTCAAGGAAAAGAGTCTCCAGACGACATTGCAGATCGTGAATTGGTTATATTTCGTCGACCAACCAATATATCTTCCGGAGAATGTAAGTAACTTTTGATGCACTTTCACATTGTTATATATAGACTACTGGAGATAGGAAATCAAAACAGTTGTTAGACATATTTTGTGCTAATATCCCTGAATGTTATGTTGATAAATTCACTTTCCATTCTACAAGTTTGTGAGCTTTCTAAAGGTTGCGAATATTTCTTACTAATCAGTTTAAATTGACATACACTCAGATTAAGGAATTCCTATGAATATGTCCAAACATCCAATCTAATTTAATTTCCAAATATTCAGAGATACTTTACTTGGAAGTATATCTGTTGAGATGATCTTCAAAATGGGTTGGAAACTCTTTTTAATATCGTGCTCGTAATAGAAGCAATACATTGAAGCTTATTTTTTAGTGTTTTAAATTTCACAAATAATGAAACATATTATCTCCCACAACACTTTAGAGATTAAGTACCGAAGATTTATTGTGTTCTAGGCGTTGATCTTCGTTCATTATGTGAAATACTAGTGGTCATTACTATTCAGTCTTTTATACTGAAGTAGATAATGAGAGGTAGGGGAGGGTTAATCTGTAATGTGTTGTTTTTGGAACAAAGCTAACTACACAATTAAGGACTCATTCCTAAATAACCATAAATACTACTACTATCAGTTACAGAATTTACGGTTATTCATCTCCATGTTAAATTTCTATGCATTTGGTGTTAGATATCAGAAATGAATTCCAAATATGAATCTTAGAAAGTGGAACCTTGATTTAGTTCACTTTAGTTAACGTAATATATGTTGCTACACTTTTGAAAGGAACTATGGTAAAGTGTGATAACGAGTCAAGTTTACAAGATTAGGTTAGTAGGTTTATTTAACTGTCATTAAATGAATGATTTATAATCTCCCAGCCGATAATCTATGAATTCATCCATCATTACCAATTACTGATTTTATTTTCACTGAACTTCCTTAATTTTCTATGATTAACGAGAAGGAGTTGGTGAAAATGTATTGTTATTTATAGATAAATATAATTATAGATATGTACAACAAAATGCCTTCTCATGGCGGAGGTGTTGTTGACGAAAATGAGAGGACGAAAAGCGAATGTCCGGCGCTTTAACCGGATTCCAAACCAATAGTGCACATGGGTTCCAGTTTCCTGCGGGAAAAAATGGTGTATGAACCAATTGTTGGTCATCGGCTTCCATGGGACTGCATCTCCTTACGATGCTCCACTGCCTTGTGGATCAAACCTTCAGGTCAAAGGCTCGGGGTGTGGCCACTTAAAAAAACACCTGCTTTGGTTTGGGCACCCGAGCAGTACCACAGCCCTCACACATATCGAATGATATTTGTGTGGCACGTTTGTTTCACTGACACAATGGGTTACTTTAATTATTTGGAAAATTTGGACGCTTTTTGTCTCATTCATTTCTCTCCCTTTATGTTGATATCAATTGTAATAACGTGAACTATGTACACGAACTGACTTTTAATTACATATAACTGGTTAATTGAAATTACTTTAATTTCAATCTGTATCTTACATTTCTACATCTTTTGCTTCTTATATGTGTCTCATCTACTCTGTAATGGAGTTAAGAAAGAACAAATTCTGATGAGAGACTAAGCAGTAGTGTTTAGTGTAGTAGTCTAAGACCATCAAATTCTTAAGCTTATTTTATTTCTAAAAGTAAATACTATTGAAAAATCAATTAATTAGTTGATCAGAAAATCATGTTCTAATAAACTTTTATTCTTTCTTTTTATTTATTTATTTGTTAACAACTCTGCTAATGAAATAGCGTTTGTTGACGATTTGCCGGATGAATTCTTTGAACACACTGAAGAAGATATACGTAAATTAATGCGTTCATATCGTAATGAATGGTAAGTTGTATAAACCATTTAAAGAATCATATTAAACAATCAAAATTGATAGACCTCTCGCATTATACTTGTGAGGTTAGACGTAGGGTATTAGTGAGTGATAGTAAGTCAGTTGATGTGGTTGTAAAACTCCATCGACTAAGATGGTTGGGGCGCGTGTTACGTATACCTGGACTCCGATTACCACGACGCACAATGCTGACTATTGTGGGAGGCGGCTGGAATAAAGTTAAGAGCAGCCAGTCATTGAAGTCACTAACTTCTAGTCTGAGCCATGTTGGTAGATGCAGACTACTTGGTTGGGGTCCGCGTGACTATGGTAACCAATGGTTGGGGGCTGTAGGTGATATGACCCAGAATCGATCACAATGGCGTAAGTGTATACACTCTGTCTTCCCTTAAAATTGCTTTATATCTTTCTTTCTTCCTGCACTATATCCTTATACACATTATTTCTTTCATATATTACTACCATTTAAATAACTACTATGAATTTGGCATTCACCTTGTTGTGCTAATGAGGTCTGAGAACTTGGACCAATGCATATATGTGCCTGCTCCTACGTTGTAGCTGACTGACTGATTATTCTTGTCATACAATCAAAAAATTTCAAAAAAATCTCAGTTGTCAGTTTTGCTTTTGATGTATTTCACAGAAAGCAGGTTGACTTTCCGCATATATTAGGTGAAATGTGAATGGATGGTATTTTCAAGGAGGGATTATTTGAATCCACTGCTTAGAAATCGACGTTGACATAGATCATTATCCTAATAAATTTGTATATTTTAGTAAATTTGGTTCACTGATATTTGTTTTTCTGTCATTACTAGGGTCATCATATTGAGGTTGTATGTTCTCCATAGCAGCATGGCTATACCGTTCCACCTCTTTTTTGTTTTTCATTACAATTATAGCTTCAAATCGAAATCCCTTTCATCCGTTCACTTTCTTTTTCGTTTTGCAGGGCGGAACATCAACCTCTTCAAACATCGACTATGCGTTCAGAAGCTCGTCATAAATCCTATTCTAAATATTGTCGAGCTATTATTCAATTTCACTGGGTTGATAATCTTATCGTTCAAGCATGTTTCCTTCCTACTGAAAAAGGTTTGTTTTTATAGTAATTTTTTTTCTTAAGACTATTTGTAATTATTTACCTTATTTCATTTTACTTAATGCAATAAGTCATCAGTCCAAACTGCCACATGATGATGGTACAACAAAGACTAGGGTCAACGTCATAATAACTTAAATGAAATACTTCTTAAACTGTATTTACGAAATTCCCCTTTTTTTAAAGTTTCATGTTAACCTTCGATTCTGTTACGTGAAATTAATTCATGATTACAATGAGTAGGGACTTCATCTGCTCTGAATCCATATAAAGAAGCATTTAGATTTAATTTGATAATGTCAGTCAGTCATTATCAATGTACAGCCTAGCACCGACGTGTATTGCTCTAAGTTGCATTGTCGGATTAGCACGACGAAATGAATTAGGTAAAATGTATGGTTTAGTAAAAGTGGTCAGAGTAATGTGGTAACAATGACAATGTAAAGGACTAAGCATTAAGAATAGGGTTTGAAAAGACAGGGTGGAAAGATATATGTGGAGAAATAATCGAATTCAAGATTGAGATTAAGAGAAAAAATGAACGCATCTGAACCATTGTGAACGATTTTATGCCATTTTACCTTAAGTCTCCAACCATTGATGAGCCCCATCTAAGTAGGCCTACATCTACCAACATGGCTCAAATCAACAGTCGGTGATTTTATGGGTTGGAGCTATTATCTTGGTTTGCCCACCCATCGCTTTGTTCTAACCTACTCATACTCCAGGGAATACCATCTATTGAGGTAGGTTGCTACGTTTGACGAGACCTTGAAACCACCTGAAGCCGGCGAACAGAACGAAAGTCAACAAAACAGGACATCTAGCTATTACACTGCGCCCCAACACTGCTAACGATGAATACACCATATAAAAGGCTTGGAACTTTAGGTATCTGATTTAATCAACTGATGTCAGTCAGTAAGTTATCATCAGCATAAAGCCTAGACCCAGAGATGTTTGCTGACCCAAGTCGCAACACACCATTAACTTGATTTACTTCGATAGTACACAATGTCTTACAAGTAGAAACCGCCTACAATCAACAAACATCAACTAATTTATTCAATAAAGATTCACAGGGTCTTCATCTTATCATCCTTCTACCTACTACAAACTTTAACATTACTCAGATACGAGTTATCATATGGCTGATAAGTAACGAACTGTTGTTATATCCCGATAAGAATAATGAATAGTAACTTTGGGGATCCATTTATGGATCGTACATTTGTTAGATAACTAAACTATTCATATTCGTGTTCCTCTTATTATGAGCTGTATTTTGACCTATGAACTATTATATATTTTACCATTCTTGAATTATGCCCTGTCTATTAATCACTACCTCCCTCATTCACAGCCACATTTGGCCAAATCTTGTACAAATGTTGTTTTCTATTTTATGGTACGTTGTAGTCTGTCTGGTCGGTATATAAACTCAGTGTGTTTGAAATACATGATTCATATCGCAGAGGTTCAGATTGGTGTTCTGGACTTAACTGACTGGGCTAGACAGGAACCAGGATCAATAAGAACTCTAGACTGCCCGCACGGGTTTTATGCATCATTGGTTCTATCGATATTTGACTGTTCTCTGATTGTGGGTATCATTAAGTTATACATTAACAGGGCACACAGGCCACAAATTATAACACGAACAAAAGGTATATTCGTTTAAGAATAATCTTTAATTTACTGTCTCCCCATATAATTTATGAAGTCATCTATTTAAACTTCCATTTTTTTACTATAAAGGTTTGGAGAACCCTTAAATGCATAATATCGCTGTAACATGTTTATTCGTATCAATTTCAGGCTTCTCATTAGTATACACTACGTTACAAAGTATCAAATCTAAGAACCGTAGTTCACACTTGAAACACTGTAAAATTCAATCAATGAGTTGATATTCGATGGTTCGTAGTCATTAAATTCATTCAATACACTGTAGACAACGAACAGTAATCGTATAATGTTGTGTATGAACTATTTTCAGTTTCAACTTGTTTGACTAAAGTGAACATGGCTTCAAAGTAGAACTTAAACTCTCTAAACTCTTTAGTATGATATTGGTTATTTTTAGCTCTCTTCAAGTAAGATATTGGTATACCAAGTAGACAACTAGTTTTTCATATTTTCATTATCTAAAAGTGTATGAATAACAAAATGGTTACGGTTATTATCGATCTATAGTCTCATACTTTGTATCTCCACTGTTTAATTGTTGTTCAGACACTTTGATTCCATCATTAACCGTTCTAATGTAGGTTAAGCCTCATAAGTTAATAATGAAGACCTGTGGATTAGTTAATCTGTTGTAATAATCGATTTTTTTCTATACTTGTCTTTCATAGTGTCAGCATTATATAAATTTATTCGTGAGCTGCAAAATTCTACTTGTGATTTTAAACTATGTAAGTTGTTTGTTACATGATCCTTTTGTGTATTGTTGTGTTAAATTACAGTTTTTTTCTTTTTCAATGCTTCGGTTAATGTTAATGTGACTTTTGTCAATCAGTCAGTAACAACGTAGAATTTTGTACGTACGTACATCAGTTCAAGTTGCCATACCACATTAGCACATAGATGCAATTGTCAACTCAAATCCCATTGTGGTAGAGGTAATGAAGGTATAAGTAGTAATCGGAAAGATTAGGGTTTGAAGATGTTATTCAAGGAGTATAATCCAGTGAAATAAATTTGGAAAGAGAAAAAAGAAAATTACATGAAGGATTCAGATTATAATTTCGGAGAACACAAAGAGTGGATGCACCTGCTCACACCATTGCAAACGATTTTGAGCTATGTCATTCAAGGTCTCTAACCATCGGTTGCTGTCGTCTTACGAATCCCAACCAGGTAGTCTACACCTACCAACATGGCTTAGTCCACCTGTCAGTGACTTCATGGATTTGTGCTATGTTTTGGTCTGGTAGCCCCTAGCTTTCTTCCAACCTACTCCTACACCATGAAACATCGCACGTAGGGGCAGTCGGTGGTTGGGCATACGTAATACATGAACCAGCCATCTCAACTGATGAATTTCCACTGCTTTATCAATTGGTTTTCCATCCTTACCTAGTGCCCGTTTCTTAACAACTATGTTACTTACTCGATGGTCCCAGGATATACGAGCAATCCTTCGAAGACACCTATGATCAAATACTAGTAACCTACGAATATTCTCTACTCTTACCGACCATGTTTCACTGCCATAAAGTAGGATGGAGTGAACTGCTGCACAATAAAGTGTCATTTGGTTGATATAAGGATGTTTCGCCTACTCCATAAATGACGCAAGTTGGCAAAAGCTAGTCGAGCATTTTGTATCCGCGCTGAGATTTCGTCACACACCAGACCACAAGGGCTAATGCGATTCCCAAGATAAGTGAAGCGGTCGACCCACTCAACTACCTCATTCTCTGTCATTATTTTAGATCTCGATGCAACCCAATCCTGAAGCAACATTTCGTATTTCAAGGGAGAGTGTCGCCTGCCGAACATGTTTGTATTGTTGCTTAGAGTGATCAGAAAATTGCATTTTACCAGCGTCTTCACCAAATAGAACTATGTCATCGACATATTCTAAGTCAAAAGGTGAATCTCCTGGTAGAAGTTCAACCCCAGGAAATCTAGATGAGGAAAGTGTTATCTCTAAACGCATGTCTGCGACAAAGTTAATCAAGAATGGAGAGAGTGGACAGCCCTCACAAACACCACTTAAGGTAATCAATTGTGATTACAGTTCGCCATAAGCTCTCACTCGACCAATCATGTTCTAGTAGAGAGTTTTTAGAAGGTTAATGTACTTCTTTGGTACTCCTTTCAGTGACACTTTTGTTCTTTTAAATCATTTGATGAACATAAACAAAGAATCACTAGTACTTTTTCAGTACTGAATGAATGACTTACTACTCACTCTAATTATTATCTTCAGTAACACTTATATACCCTGTGCATGAATACAGAATGAATGATAACTGTATAGGTTTGATATAATAAGGGGAAAATTGATAAATCATAATCGAACCAATCAGTAACTTATATGTACTGAACAGACTATCATGAGTTCGTTCTTTTAATAAACACTTCAAACCAAATAAGTATCCATTATTATTGGATAAATTCTTAACAGTTTTCCATATAGATTAATAAAATAATAATATCAAATGGGCTTTGTGTATATTATAGTAATTTCAATAGTTAAGATCATGAGTCAGTTGAAGCTAGACCACCATAGAGAACCTGAAAGCATTGGACGACCGTTTCGTTCTATTGGGAGACTCCTCAGCAGCGCGCATCCATGGCTCGGTGGCATAGTGGTTAAGTGCTCGCGCGCGAAACCAGTAGGTCTTGGGTTCGAATCCCGCGGGGGGCGAGGCCGTGGATGCGCACTGCTGAAGAGTCCCACAATAGGGAGAAAGGGTCGTCCAGTGCTTCCAGGTTTTCCATGATGATCTAGGTTCAACTGACGCATGATCTTAACCATTGAAATAAATCATAATTAATGAAAATTTGTATTATGGCGTATACTACTTATATCGACATAAGTAGTATATATATAATGCGAGTTAGGAATAGAATGTCTAACAGCAGAAGATCGAGAAGGGAAGAACGAGAACATAAAGCAATTGGTATGGAAATGCAAAAATAATGAAATCTGAGACTACTAATAAACAGTTTGCACATGAAGTATTAGAGTTTGGTTTTTCTATTTTACCAAGTAACTCGGTAATTTTGTGCTAAATCTAATTCGGTTACCATCACCTGTGTTCTCCTTCACTACAGTATGAGTCCAAATAAAGATCCTTGTCAAATTAATAAATTAACGACAGATTCTATTGTGAATGAAGTAAGATAATTAAAATATTTTTATTACAATAATACAAGAAAATAGAGAAAGAGAGGAGGGTCGAATAAATTAACCAAATAATCATATTTCCTAGTTGAAAGTTCTATCAACATCGTATAATTGATAAAATATGCTTTAGATCAAACGATTTACACACGAATATATTCAGATTAGTTTCCTCAAGTCTACTGTTTTCAGGATTCATCTAACAGTTGAATAATTATAGATGTGAATAACATTATATATTAGTCAAGTTGATTTCTCTTTGTCCACTGAGTTCATCTTAACCTATTTAAAAATTTGAAATTCACACTATTAATACACATGTACCTCAGAAAACCTAGGGAACAAATAACTTAAGGATTCATTCAATTGGATTCAACCTTGTGACGTCGCTTCACTTCATTAAAGAAGAATAGGTCTTTAGTTCAGAGACTCAGATAATGGTTCTTTAATAAAAGCACTTGGTTCAGTCTAGACATCCAAACAGTGTCAAGACCGTCGCATTGATAATAAAATTTCCCATTGAAGATGGGAAGGTTATGTCACACTGTAAGTAAGTTGGGAAAAGAACATATAATTTACTTGATCAATCTTATTTCAATACTGGTCAGTATGGGGTTAAAATAACAAACATTAAAAACGCTGAACTTCCATCTCATTCCAGTATTGAACTTGTGAATTGATTGAATCTTGATTCATTCACCATTAGTTCCTGGCTCAGTGGTTTGGTCGTTTAAGTGTTCACACGCGAAATCGAAGATCCTGAGCTTGGTTCCGGGTTTTGGGATTGCTAATTCCCTTTTCCTGAGGAGTCCTATATTACGACAAATTGGCTGTTCAGTGCTTCCAGTTTTTCAATAATTGTGTAACTTAGATCAGTTTATGATCTCAATAAAACTGTCTATAAATTAACCAAAATATTAGATTAGAATATAATCTTAGTTGATTAATGACAATAGATTGAACGTATAAATCAGTAACGAGTATGTCAGTTAGATTTTTTCAACTTTACAATTAGAACAATCTTAATCTGACTACACTTTTCCAATGTGTCCTCATTGTCTTTTTCCTTGTCATAAACCAATTTTCTTTCTTAAAAAAAAATAATAGTGACATAGCAACAAAACATATTTCATTCATCGTTACATTTTATATTGTATACTGAAGTTTGGAGTGTTACCAAAATAACTTATATAATCAAAATCTTATATGGTGGATTAGAAAATTGTTATTTATATAAGCCTTAGTTTAAAACCAAAGAAAAAAAAAAAGAAGAAAGAAACAAAGAGAGAAGAGATTATCCATTCAAACATGTAAACACATTTAGATGGACTGCAGTTCACTATTTTAGTAAAACCAAAAAAAAGGTAATAAGTACAATGAATTACAGTCTTATTCGAATTTTGATTAATGGAATATTAAGAGATAGAAGACACTTGACAACTTTATATTCATTATACAATTTGATGGAGGTAACTTGTTATTCTTTTTTTATATTTTATTTATCTAATTTATGTTTTATTAGTCTGGAATTCTTATATTCATTCATAATCATACATGTTCTAACTAAAAATATCATTCATTTTATGAATGAATTGTATTCATCTATAAAACGATATGTATCCAAAAAACTGTCATATTAGTTGTACAATTAGTTTTACAGAATGGATCATTATTGTTAAACAATGTACAGGAAACTTAAGTACTAAGTATCCTATTCATTCTTATTATTTAATAAACTTTAGATACTTAAGCTTTGGTATTCATAGTCTATACACAATCAGTATATGTTTCTTTCTCTCATCATAATCGGATAAATATATTTTTATGGGGTTGTGGAGATTATTAGGTTTTTGATTGAGATTATGAATCGATTGATGTTAGACCACTATTGAAAACCTGGAAGCACTGGACGGCCGTTTAGTCGTATTGTGGGACTCCTCAGCAGTGCACATCCATGATCTCGCGCGCGAACACCTAACCTCTAGACCACTGAGTTGGCATTCAACAGTGTTAATATCTAACTTCAACTAACTCATGAAGTTGCGCGGTCATCTTCCAGTGTCTGAGGTAGATACCTGTCTCTATCCGACACGGAATAACTCCACTGGTCACGTCTTCTCATTATAATTCCGAGAATTCCCTCACGAAGCTAGTCACTAGTGAGCACATATTAATTACCAGTATATAGTTGTGGAGATAATTAGGTTTTTGATTGAGATCATGAATCGATTGATGTTAGACTACCTGCGAGTGGGATCTTGGATGCGCACCACTGAGGAGTCCCACAATAGAATGAAATGGCCGTCTAGTGCTTCCAGGTTTTCAATAATGGTCTAACGTCAATCGATTCATGATCTCAATCAAAATATATTTGTACATGATTTATTGGTTTTCTTTTTTTCCCTATCTAACATCAATAGAATAGTATTTCATTTCATATGTATAATTGATCATCCATTGTTATCTGTTACTTTTTACAGATACTACTCCGCCTAAATTGTTTCTATCTGATACAAATATGACATTGATTGAAGTGAGTGTGGAAATTTTCTTCTATTATACATTTTTTAAAATTTGTTCAAAGGGTGTTTTTCTTTCCGCAAAGATATTTTAAGGAATATTTATGGTATGTGTACCACTTAAATACATAATACTGATTTTTAACTGCATCCTGATTATCCAAAAATCTCTTCCAGTTAAACTGTTAAAAGAAAAGAAAAGTCTGAAACTATCTAAGTCACCTTTACTTCCTAAATTAATGTATGTATAGAAAATAGAAGTATTTATAGGTTTATTTGTAACGTTTGATATTCTGGAAGTTCCTTGAAAATATATTAAAGTTAGTAACAAAGTCATAGTATAACACATTTATTTATTTATTTTATTACATAGATATTGGTACAAGGAGGCACCAAATACATATGCGCCACACAAATCTCATTTGATATGTGTGAGGCCTGTGATACTGCTCGGGTGCCCAAACCGAAGCCAGTGGTTTTCTCAGTAACCCACACCTGGAGCCTTCGACCTGAAGGTTTGATCCACAAGGAAGTGGAGCAACGTAAGGAGATGCAGTCCCATGGAAGCCGGTGACCAACAATCGGTTCATACGCCACTTGTTTCTTCAGAATACTGGAGCTTATATGCACCATTGGTTTGGAATCCGGTTAAAGAGCCGAACATTCGCTTTTCGTCCTCTCAATTTCGTAAAAAGCACCCCCTCCACCAGAAGGCTGTGAGTAGGACTTCCCTGGCAGAGGTTATATACGCGTGGCCATATGAGAGCATCTCGAGAGGTAGAGCGGACTCTCCCCACTCTCGGCCGTACCAGGGCATTTATTCTAAAATTGTCTAAGAAGTTCCTATCAATATTTAGATTCCATGACATACAAAAATCTAAGTGATCTGTATTTATGAAAAGTTTCAAGTAAATTGAATTCAATTGTCTACACAGAATGTTGAATTCTTTGTAGCATGATCTGAACTAATTGTCTGTGTTTGATAGTTGGTAAATAAATAAATAAAAATTTACTAAGATCTATTTCATTTTCAAATGTTATCTGATATACCATAAAATGTGTAGTATATAAATAGCCTGTTTGAATGAACTTAACTGATGGATTGTATTTTCTAAAAAGTAATTTATTCTTTATTTATGTGTATTACATTTATTATTCTTTAGGCTGATTTAGTACCTTTATCAAAAGTATTTTATCATCCTACTGACATACCAGCTGATAATGGTAAGTAGTATAAATCATTTAGTGAGTAGTGTCTGATATCATTTACTCTTTTAAATTATTTGTTTTAAAAAAAATATTTATTTGAACATATAAACATTGGTACAAAGAGGAACCTAATAGATATGTGCCACATAAATCATTCGATTTGTGTAAGGTCTGGGTTACTGCCCGAGTGACCAAATCGAAGCAGGTAGTTTTCAAAGAGTGCCACACCCGGAACCTGTGATCTAAAGGTCTAATCCACAAGGCAGTGGATCAACGTCAAGAGATGCAGTCACATGGTAGCCGGTGACCAACAATAGATTCGTACGCCATTAGTTCACTCAGGATAATGAAGCCCATGTGCACCATTGAATTAGAGTTGGAATTTTTCAACTCCCTTAGGTGGACTCTCCATGTCCACCAAGTAGGCTAAAGCGACGGACATTCGCTTTTCGTCCTCTCATTTTCGTAAACAACAGTAATGGGACTATCGGTTAAGTAACACAGTTGTTAGAAAACAGGTACTAGGTGAGGATGGCAAATCAATTGATGAAGTAGTGAAACTTTATCAGTTGAGATGACTGGGACTTGTGTTGCGTATGCCCAACCACCGAATGCCTCGATGTGCGATGTTTTGTTGTATAGGAGTAGATTGGAAGAAAGCTAAGGGCGGCCAAACCAAAACATGGCACAAGTCCATGAAGTCACTGACAAGTGAACTGAGTCATATTGATAGGTGTAGACTACCTGGTTGGGGACCGCGAGATGATAGCAACCGATGATTAGAGACCTTGAATGACATGGCTCACTGGATTATGCTCCTTGAATAACATCTTCAAACCCTAATTTTTCTGAATACAGCTTATAATTTTACTACATCTAGCACTACGGGATTTGAATCGACAACTGCATCTTTGTGCTAATGTGGTATGGCAATATTATTTTTTTAATGTAAGTTGTAAAACTCCATGATCTTCCGTTAAAAGGGGATTGTATTTGTAAGGTTTTATTTAATTGTTGTTATTTAGAACTGCAATGTATCAATTTCTATCTTTGTATACACATTCGGACCGGATTCCTCCGTTTTCATCTCATTTATTCGCAAGGTTTAGTAAAGTTAAAATGTGGCTAGTAGTAAAATCGAAGAGCTGCGTTTCACCCTATGTTGGACTTGAGTGTGAACATTAACATTAGAATACTGGTACACCTAACTGATTAATCCCAAATAAAACGTTGTATATGTTGTGGATTTTAGTACCGATCCCAATTTAACTCTATTAAAACTTCTGGTTCGATGATTGTATGAAGACAATCTGCTTAGGATACAGATATGTCAACAAAAACTGATAAAAGCAATAGGACATTCCAAATTTTTGTTAATACAAGCACACTCGGACAAGTTAGTGTTTATCTGGCCTAAGTAGTTCAGTGGATAACGCGTTAGCGCTTCAAGCGAAAGGTATTGCGTCTATTTGTCATCATGACCATTATTTTATATGCCGGTACATTCAGCTTCCAAGCCCTAAATAGGATAAAACGTGTGTCATGAGTTCCACTGTTAATCACTACCCAAATGAATTCATGAAATCTATTTATGGTTTGATAATATACATTAATACCAGATCTGACATTTGCTTGTCTATCTACTACAAAAAAAAGTAGTTCGACTAGACTTTTCGGCAGTACACACAACTATACTAGGAGTCAAACCTTTATATTTTGAAACGAACGCGTTAGCTTGATTTTATGAAGTCAAAACTCAGTGATTCGGATTTCGAATTTCAGTAAATTCGTAATTTAGCATGATTATCATCCAGTGTCACTGTTGCCCTCACATTATTGTTGAACTCCACTAATAATGACTTTTAAACATCAAGAAATTCATCTAGAAGTTTAACCTAATGATCTCCGATAGAAACTCAACAGTGAATATACGGGAAATATGTTGGGTCGGCTTCCGGAGAACTTCAACGGAGCCTCCAGAGGCCCAAAAAGGAGCCGAAGGGCCCCAGCCAATCAGAGTATGATGGAACGTTCGAGAATTCCAGCGTGGCGTGTTAGCATTGGTCGGTAGCATAATATGACGTTAACGGATTGGCCGAAATATGATGTTGATTTAACAGACGCCAACATCTATAAATACCGTTGATTTTCTGTACCAAAACGAACCTTGGGATAAAGTGTTTTCTCTCATACTTGTGTCTTCTCTCTCTGGTGTTCAAGTCACTGTGTAGTTCTAGTCTGCGGGTTTCGGGAATAGCTTAGGAATTGTATATAGCGTTCAACCTACACGACTTATCGAAATAGTTAGTAGTTAAGTATTTCTTCTGCTTCTGGATCATTTTCTTAAACATAGATTCTTTCATGTTTCCAACATGTTTATTATTTAATGGATCATAAAGAAATCAAATCAAATATTTGTAAACTGCCATTTCTTTGATTTCTAAATTGTCTTAGATAACATATGTTCATTCCATTATGATTATGTGATCATTGTAAAATGGTAAAGTTATATGACCATTGTTGATAATTTCACTCTTCTCATTCTTAAACTTATAACGCTGTATATTGCAAATAGTCATACACTAACCATTAGTTTACATCAATTACATTTTATTCAGTTTTGGTGATTACATCATTAATATAAGATCAATTTATTCTTATTTAATAAAGTCAAATAATTAAATAATGATATTCTTTTATGGTTTCATTATATAGTTCTGAGATCAGATATATTAGATAAAGCCAATGAAGAGAATCTTATTAAAGCTCAGTCAATTGTTACTTACTGGTATGTTGTTTGTCTCACTCATTTATTTATTTATTAATTAATTATCTGTAATATTTATTTGTTTGTATTTTCATTATCACCTTAATGTAAATTGTTTGGTGATGAGTTGATCCTATTGAAGATTATTTGCTTTCTCTTTGAGGTAGTAATAAGTGATTAAACGTATACTCTCAGCCAAGTATCTAACCGATTATAAATATTTGTCAAATTCTTGAAATCTATCTAAATCCCAATAATGAATGGAACACTTAAAAGTAAATTCTTGTCACTGTGACCAAATATATTCTCGAATCTTAGCACTACTAACATAGTGTTACCGTTGGATAAGAGTAATTCTTCAGAGGTTATAATGATCAAACACAGAGAGTCGTCTAACATTCTCATTTTAGAAGGTTTAAGTTTCACAAACATAGATCGAGATTATTGACACTAATTGGTTGTATACCTGGCTACACTAACGTCATGATGGTTTTAAAGCTGATCCAGATCGGATCAATCTCTCTGGTTCTCAACATAAGTAGGTTGGTTTCGGTTTTCACACCACCAATAGCACTTTCGCATTGACACACGAAAGTTCCTAGTATTTCTAAATGGTTTGGATTTATAAATCCAAAGTCATACTTATGGACACGAATTAACAAATGATTAATTACAATTTGGAAAACCTGTCTGTCATCACAGAAAGATGACAGTTTATGAAGTTTGTCTTGGGCAGAAACAGGTTGTTATCCATGTTGAGGGAGTACCATAATTATCCCTCGTGAAAGTTCCAGAGGTCCAAGAACTAAAAAAAACATTCTAATAGGCGTTAAATAGGATCTTCACAGTATCATCAGAAAATGTAGAATCATGTTTCGCGGTTTCGACTGAATATTTACATATGCTGCTACCATATTTATTATGGTTCCAGAAATTTTCAAAAGCCCAAGATCGTGTATAATTATAAATAATCTCGTTTTTGTATACATAAACTAACCTTGGAATAAAGCTTTTATTCGCAATTAGCGTCTCCTGTATCGCGTCCTAGTTGACATATAGAAGTATTTGATGATATTGGCACCAGCTAGGAAGAAAGTTTAAGCGTGTCTGTAGTAAAATTCATCAATCCGAATATAGTTCTCACGGAGCCGTTTAGACGAACAGCACGTAGACGCCTTCAGCGGGGATTCACTCTAATAGTGCTTGTTCTGCCCTCGTACACCTGCCAGTACTTGAGAACTAACCATCGGGTCGCCAGACACATGGTGGGTGTATCTCGTCGGCTCTCCGTTTTGGCGAGGTGAGGTCAAGTGAATTAGCACACTAAGGTCTTGTATGCGTGTTTCGGAGACACAGCATACATCAGTGGTTCAAGATTCTAGAATCTTAGCCTAGAAGGCCTGCTGGCCGATTTGACACAGAGTGTGCACATTGAAGGCTCCAATATGTAGTTTGGAGCAAGGTTTCAGTGGACCTTGGACAGTGTTTTGCTCACTAGAATCGTTGGCTATGGTGACACTTGAAGAGGAAGCCAAAAGAGGAAGTTTAGTGTTGAAATTCGATGTAGGAAAAATAATAGGAATAGAAGAGGTAGATTCAATACAGTGATATTGAGTGCTGTTAGCGGTATGAGGGCGGTTATAACTTCCCAGTTGTCCAAACCGTGGAAGGGTTCTTCTGGAGGTACCTGAAAAGGACATGGGGTTATAGTTGGTCTTAGTGACATGAGAGCGTGACCGTAGTGCCCAAGGGACAACTGCTTGAGGTTGGTTACACACCACCTTTTTGTGAATAGTTTTCGTATTAGCTCCGTACTTGTTTAGACCCTACCACCGGATATGGATATCCGTGGGATCAGGTGGAGTGTGCATTTTTAGGGTCGACTTTTTCTAACCCCAACCCTCCTTGTGGGAAGGCAGCATCACTGTTATGTTGGTTGTCTGATGGAAACACGTTACTGCCGTAACACCTCTGTACGGTCAGAAGTACGACTTCGCCTTCGGACCTTGGGTTTACTGCTTTTGGTCTATCCGTTCTTCAACCGACCTGTCTGGCATGACAAGACCATGAGGGACGATTTTTCAGCCAGTATAGCTTGATTGGTGCATCACGATAGGCAAGTCCGATCACCAGGTCAAGGTAGCAGCAACCACCATTGAATTAACTATTTCTATGAATTCGGTGTTCATCCTGTTGTGCTAATGAGATGTGGCAACTTAGACCGATGCATATATGTGCCTGGTCTTACGTTGTAGCTGACTGACGGACTGACTGAATACGAATATAGGTTCAGAAATGTTTTCCTGTCGTTCAATATATATTCATCTAATCTCCATCGGGTCCCCAAACAACCCTCTGTGTGTGTGTGTGTTGACGTCCAACCTGCACATACAAGTCTCTTGATAGCGTAATCTGTCTGACAGCAATGAACGTTTTCACTGGATCTGGGTTGCAGTCTGTCGGTCATAGGTGAGGATTTCAATAATACTTGCATTATATGGATTGATTTTACTATTTTACCAATAAACTACTTTTTCCATTAAGCCTATGAGTATGGAGAGTTTAAGAACTTTTACTCAGTTGCTGATTGTAAAGTAATTGATAACATATTTAAGTTTTTGAGCATATTGGATATAGATTCAATAAATAACCCATTAAATTACACTCCCAATATTTTTTGTTCATTTCTATGTAAATAGGATGAAAAAATCACCATCCGACAACTCAATTCAAAACAGTTCGTCTCAAAGTGATATTGACACTCAGAAAAACTTAAGACGCACTGATAGACCTGCTTCTAATTCATGCAGTGTACCAAAGTGGCTGAAATTAAGTAAGTTCTTCATGTTTTCAACTGATGTTTACTGTTTTTAATTATGTAATGGAACTTTTATTCCGTTGAAAATCCCACTCGTCAAATTCCAAGTACACACCAAATAATTGTCGGTAGGTAGGTAGTTAGGTAGGTGGCAGGTGGGTTGATGAGATTATCTACAATTGTTTCTGGTATTTTATGCTCAATGTTCTTGGTTAGATTGTTGAACTGACATGTATTTAAGAGGTGATCAATGTAACTGTATTAGTCCATATCACATTTTATCCTGCCTTCTTTGTTCGAGAGTCACTTGTACTGAGTTAAATATACTAGGTTCTACAAACCTTATATTCTTATTATTTATTCTGTTGAACGAAGTTCAACTTATTTATAATGTGAACATCGCGTTATTTCAAATTTATATCTATTATCACTCCTTACAAAAGTTTAATTGAAATCTTGAACCACCTAATTCTCCTCCGGATATCTCGGATTAAATATTGTCACTATTCTTTCCAGAGATGTTAAACTTAAGCTATTGACAATACTCAAATTGTTTCCCTTTATGACTGTTTAGTAGGCAAAGAGAAAATTGAGTTAATATTATGGCTACCATGTCTTTGAACAGCTTTTGTTTTAAATCAAAACGTGTTTGTTTCTTTATCAAAAATTTGTAAATTTCGTCTTTTATTCATTTCTCATTTTCATCATTTTTTTTCTCACTTCTTGTTTTCTTCGTTAGAAAAGTGAATTCAATGAACCGTTTTATTCTGCATAAAGTACAAATGCTTCGTCTGACGTTCGATTATCCTCTTTGGAGGGTATAGAAAATTCCAGTGCTTTGCACTGTATTTTACGAATTCCGTTTGCTTTTCTTTGGAGAGATGCTTACAGTGTACTTTTTTATTTTGACATTGTTGAAAATAAATGACTCCTAATGCATTTGATTTCTCATTGACGCCTGTTCCGGTGTTAATTAATTCACTAACCTCATCAGGCTAAATTCCAGGTGTAACAATAGTTTCAGTGAGATCGTGAACCGATCAATGTTAGACCATTATAGAAAATATGGGAGCAGTGGACAACCATTTCGTCGTAGAGTGGGGCTTCTCAGCCGTGCGCATCCACGATTTTATTTATTTATTTGATCACAAACATTGGTACAAGGAGGACCAAATATATATGCGCCACATAGATCATTCGATTTGTGTGAGGGCTGGGATACTGTCCGGGTGCCCAAACCGAAACAGGTGGTTTACTTCGGGGGCCACACCCGGAGCCTTTGACGTATAGGTTCAATCAACAAGGCAGTAGAGCAACGTTAAGTGCAGTTCTGTTGTAGCTGATGACCAACCATAGGTTCATATGCCACTTGTTTCCTTAGGATCCTCGAGCCCATATGCGCTATTGGATTGGAGTCGGGGTTTCCCAACTCGTCTAGATGTACTCTCCGTGTGCACCAACCACGGTTAGAGCACCGGACATTCGCTTTTCGTAAAGAACAGTAATATAGCGAGAAGGCAGTGAGTGGGGGTTCCCTGGTATTGGTTATATGCACGTTGCCATGTGAGAGCATTTGTATAAGGAGAGCTTACTCATTTTTCTCGACCGTATTAGGGCATTTGGGCGCATCCACGATCTCTCGTACGTGTTCAGTCACAGTAAGAAAATTCATACAGTTCCTACTCATCAGGAACTGGTTGTTGTCGTTATTGGTTTAATAAAATACTATATTGGGTCTGGACAAATTGATTCTTCAACTATGAAACACAAGTACACAGTGCTCTTTTATATAATTTATTAGTAATAGATCATATTGGTAAGTGATAATAATGAATCACACCGTTTTATAAATAATACAGTATCAATTTTCGGTACGTATCAAACACGAAATTAAATAGTAATGTACTAATTATGCATTAATGATTGGAGAAAGATTATACGAAATTCTTATTGTCAATCGTAGCGGTGGAAACTGTCGGATTAAGCAGATGCTTACTGGTATAAGTACATATCAGTTTTGAAAATAGCTCCTCACCTCGAAGTATGGTAGACACTAGATTCCGACTCATTCATATCGGTTTCAGTGTTTCCTTCCACTCTAATCGAGATTGAACACAGGAGAGTCAGTAAATCGAGTTTACTGTAAACAGAGAAATTTCTTGTAAATAAGCATTATTGCAGATATACAGAGCAGTGAATATAGTAGTTTCCAAACAAAAGTCGCTTTTAGGAGAATATCCGTTAGGAAGTTTGTTTGTGGAAGGCGCTTTTAAAGAGCTTTAATGGCAGTTGTCCATTCGTGTTCTCCCTTCCTTTTTCCTCTTTCCAATTTTATTTCACTGGATTATACTCCTTGAATAACATCTTCAAACACTAGGCTTTCCGATTACTGCTTATACTTCTACTACTATGGGATTTGAATCGGAAATCGCATCTCTGTGCTAATGTGGTGTGGCAACTCGAACTGATGTATGTACGTACGAAGTTCTACGTTGTTACTAGCTGACTGACTGACTTTGTTGTGGCTAAGACAAAATCATGTCTGCTAAAGTATTCTATTATCAGAAATATTTCAAATTATCGTACTGTAAAAGTAAAAAAGGCTTTCTTTTCAAATGTTCAGCTGTGACCTATGGACAAATTCCATTTTGTATTCTTTGTCAATGATTCAGTAGTTTTAGTAAATTTGAAAACGTGAAAGGAAGGCTCCATAAAGACCAATCATTTCAAAGTAATACTGTAATGAACATTAGTTGCTGTGTCTCAATTTGTCTATAGTACTGATATCATTCAACAGGATATCGGTTGTGTGATTTGGATGGCTTTCGATTCCGTATTATCCTAACACAAATTAGTAAATACTCTGGTACGTTGTCTTCGTAAATTGTTACTTAAGTGATGAATAATAGTTTAAAAAAGTAAACGAGTCTTCTATAAGAAACATTGAATGCTAAGTGCTTAGTTTGATGGATATGAGAACAGCTAATATGCTCCTTAGTCTTCTATTCAGAAAGGTTAGTTTGTAGGATTGTTTAATTTTTTTTAGAAATATACCTGTAAATGATGAAGCGTGTTCATGGTTCTGGAATAACCTTCTTTCTATCCTATACGAGAATGAATTAAGTCTGTACCTCCCCCCCCCAAATAGTTTAAAAAGTAAAGGAGTCTTCTATAAGAATCATTGAATGGTAAGTGCTATTATTACATAGATTACTCATATTTATTCTTACAATATTACATCACATTATTTCTCCAGTCGATTACTTGAAGTAATGACCAGTAGAGTTCAACCAGATTTGTTGTGTGATAGTAACTCACTGTAGACAATAATGGATGTGTCGTTCAATTTCGTGGATTAGTTGAAATTAGACATTAAAACCATTGGATTCCGGCTCAATGATCTAGTGGTTAAGCACTCGCAGGTGAGCGAAATTGTGGATGTACACTGTTGAGGAGTTCTACAATAGGACGAAACGGTCATCCAATGCTTCCAAGTTTTTCATGATAGTCTAACTTCAATTGACTCATGATTTCAATCATTGAAATTACTTCATTGTTTTATATTTTTCTGTCATGTCAATTTAAGGCTAAAAAGTTTTTTTTTTGTTTGTTTCCAGACTTATTAGAATTTTTAAAAAAAATCAATAATCAATATTCATAAATCAAAAAAAAAATTAATTTTAAAATATGAAAGTAGCATTTTTAAAACTAAACTATGAATGACTCATCAGACTGATTTTATTGATTTTTATTTTAATACAAATCAATAATTTCAATTTTATTAACAAAAATGGTTAGTGGTTAATGATGGAATCTTATCAAGAGTATTTTATTCTATTTATGATTTTCTTTACTGAATGGATCTAGATATTAAACTTTGTTAATATTTATTCTGGAATTCATTGTGTTATCTATTTAGCTATTACAATTGATCAATCTTTTATTGATGGTATATGTGCATATTGCTTTGATATTGCTTTAACTTGCAAGCATTCTAAGCAAAGATGGATTTGAGTACCAGAGTGAATATCAACTCTGAGATGCTTGTACGTCTGAATTAGGGCGAAACTGGATCTCACTGTTAGCCACTATCTATCTTTGCTTAAAAAAAGCCTGTGACTTAAGGCTATATCAAGGCAATCAACACAAGATGCATGTATACCAATAAGAGACTGTTCAATTACAATCCTGAATAACAATGGGTAGATACAAGTAAACAAATTTTTTTTAAAGTTTTTTTTATTTATTACTTAAACTGATAAGTAATGAGTAGTTTTTGTAGTGTAAGTTGAAAGTATTTATACTGTGAAGATTTTCAAACTGTTCAATTATCTCATCTATATACTCATTCATTATGAATATTTTTCAGTTTAATAAATTAGAATCAATTTTATTGTATGACATTATCTTACACTAAATAAAGTTGATTATTTTACTATTGTGGTGTGTGCTATTGAAATCAACAGATATAAGTAGTATATATCATCAATCCAAAATGAATTGCTTGGCAGTAAAAGATTAAGAAGATCAAAGAAAAGAGAACGAGAACAAACAAAAAATGCTGTTGATGTGGAAAAAAATAAACAATGAAGTTTGAGACGATTGATTGACATTTTGCAAATGAAGTAATTACTGTATGAATCACAGATATTACTAACATGTTCTATAATTTTATATTCGATTACATTTGACTTTTACCACATGTGTTCTTGTTCAGTACACTATTCGCTATCTGAAATAGCAATAGCATATTTTTATTAGATATAATGCCATTCAAATATGAAGTTGAATAAATGCCATGCCTATGGATAAGTGTATAGTTTTATCACTGAAATATTTGTTTAGATAGTGATATTTTTTGTGTGAAAAGTATCCGTATAGAAGAAAAGCACAAACAATAAACTGGTTTAGATTCTAACATTTATAATTTATAATGGTTATAACTTGTGGCCTGTATTCTCTGTTAATGTTGTATAACTTAATGATATCCACAAGTAGAGAACAGTGAATTATCGATCGAACCAATGATGCATAAAACCCGCACAAGCAGTCTAGAGTCCTGATTGATCCTGCTTCCTGCCTGTTAAATCCAAAAACAGCATTCTCAACCTCTGCAATATAAATCATTCATTTCAAACATACTCGGTTTATGTACCAGTCAGACAGACCACAACGTACCATAGAATATGAAACAACATTTGTACAAGATTTGGCCAAAAGTAGCTGTGAATGTCGGAGGTAGTAATTAATAGACAGGGCATAATTCAAGAATAGTAAAACGTATAATAATAGTCCATAGGTCAAAATAAAGCTTATAATAAGAGGAACACGAATATGAATAGTTTAGTTATTTAACAATTATATGATAAAAAATATACGTATAGTATTGGTTCATAAATGGGTCCCTAAAGTGACCATTCATTATTCGGGATATAACAATAATTCATATCAACGATGGCAATGGATAATAATAGCATAGTATTGCTAAGTGTAAACCATTGGTTACTAACTAAGCGATTCGAGGTTTAAGCGCTTATTACAAGATCTGAATGTTCAGGATTTAACCTATGGTGGGATCATGAACTTGTACTGATACAGAAGTATACAATAGGTTGAATTAGCCGTTTAGTATTTCTTGATTTTCAATGGTTGTCTAGCTAGAATCAGTAAGCGACTTGGAAATTTCATTTCAATAAGCTCTTTAACCACCTTATAATAACAAGAATATAGAGATGCTGGGAATTCATCTACATCGTGAGAAAAAAGTGAAGATAACTATTGTGTATAATAAATATTCTCTGGAAAGATTTGACCCAAATATAAGAAACGTTTTAAAAACAGAATCACAAAACGAATTTAAACAATAATGAAATTCAGTAAATCTGTAATCCATAGATTCTACGGTAGACTAAAGTTCCATAATGAACACACTTTTATG